TCTGATATCTGTCTCCCAGCAACAAAGGCTGACTGGGTTTCTGAGATCCTATCTGGGAGGACCTTTTTTAATCTTTGGCATAAGACCTTAGAAATAATCTTGTAACACACATTACAAAGACTAATGGGTCGCAGCTGGCTCATCTGTTTTGGTTTATCAACTTTTGGGATAAGGCATATATTAGTATCATTTATACCAGCCGGTATAGTCCCTTGGAATAGGAATTGATTAACCATAAGAGTTAGATCATCCTTAACGATATCCCAAATATTTTGGTAAAACAAAGCTTTCATTCCATCGGGTCCTGGGGCTTTCTCCGGGTGCATAGCAAATAGAGCTAACTTAACCTCCCATTCTGAAACCGGAGCTGTTAGGCCCTCATTATCTGCTGGCGTAATTGTAGTGGTAACTTCTGAAAGTGCATCCTCTATCTCCTCAGGGTTTGATGATTGGAAAATATGTCGAAAATAGCTAGTAGCAATGGCTACCAGGCCTTCCTCGTCCTCCACAACATTCCCATCTGCATCCAAAAGTTGGGTTATCCTATTCTTCGCTCTTCGCTGCTTCGTGAGAGCGTGGAAAAATTTTGTGTTACGATCTCCCTCCGTTAACCAGAAAACCCTACGCTTCTGCTTCCAGAACAGTTCCTCCGCCTTAAGGGCGTCAGAAAATTCTTTTAAAGCCGCTGCGATCTCCTCTGTAGTGGCATCATCGTTGAAGGATAATCGGTCCACCTTTTCCTTCAGCTCCTCCACACTTTTCTCTGAGTTCAGATTGTGTTGTCTTTTCCAATCACATAGCGCTCGCCTACAACTTGCTATATGTTCCATAATGCTAGCATCCAGAGGTAGGTCTGGTGATTTCCATCCTTCAAGTATAATCTGTCTGAGTTCCTCATTTTGAAGCCATCGCTTGTCAAATTAAAAGTTTTTTGACTTTCGTGGCTTTTTTCTAAGAATATCTGCTAGGATTGGACGATGATCCGAACCCCAAAGCCTCAGATACTGCACTTTGGAATGAGGAAACTTCTCCAGCAAGTTCTCATTACCTACAGCCCTATCAAGTCGACATCTAACGGTGGCATTTCCTGCGCGTCTTCCTACCCAGGACAACATGTTCCCTGTAAAAGGGATGTTCAGCATACCACAGTCACTGAGCATCTGCTTAAAAGGCAAGAAAGAACTATCAGTGCGTTCTCTGCCCCCTTCCTTCTCCTCATGACAAGTTATTTCGTTAAAATCACCAATTATAAACCAAGGTCCATTTCGTGTTGTTGAGAAATGCGTAAGACGTTCCCAAACTAAGTCTCTTCTTTCTACTACAAGATCCCCATAAACAAATGTCATATAGACTTTTATTCCATCAATGACTGCCTCAATGTCAATCATTCTGTTATTCGAAAATAAAATCTTAACGTGAAAATCATCCATAAAAAATAAAACTAAACAAATGTCATATAGACCAAGTGGCTCAACGGTAAACAAACGATCATATCCTAAGTCGGCCTGAATGTCTTGCAACAGCAGCCTCCTATTTTTCGTTTCAGAAAGGAACACTAGTCCTGGGCGATGCTTCTGACACATCTCCGTAAGGCGTCGAACTGTGAGGTGAGTCCTGATCCCTCGACAGTTCCAACTGAGTGTCTTCATGGATGAATGTGGGATGGGTTTTTGGACCCCATCGAACCACTGACTTTGTTCAGCTTGGAGCGATCACCTTTAGAATTATGTCTGGAGTGTCGAGAGTTGCCTTTCTCGCCCATTTGCTTATGGGTTGTAGAGCTTAGGGATCTCAACCGTGGGGAACCCCAGCGTAGAAACTCTTTTTTCTTTGGGGTCTTCCTGATACCATTCCGCTGTCCCTTAACACTTCTTGAGCTTCTTGTAGCCTCCTTGTGCCGTGAATTATGATTCTCCGCAGATCCGTCCAGCTCCTCATCAAAAAGATCATCCTCCTCATCCATTCCTTCTGTTTCTTTGATTGCTGGGATCTCCATATCAGTCAGAGCCTCAATTACTCATGTATCTTCATACTCAAGCCCAGTACGGTTTGTGGGATACATCAAGGAACGTATCACACTTCGTTCACGTAGAGTCACATTGTCTTGCATGTTTGGAGAAGTGATTTTGCTGGCTAATTTCTTCCGTTGTGGTTGCGCAAAAGCCCCGGAAGGATCCTTAGATTGATCACGAGAATGGTGACCATTCCTTTCAACCTCACTCGCCTCATTCTAGTCATAGGGACCTAGCTGAGAAGAGTTTGGCCTGTTGATTGCCTCATTTTCATGATCCCCGCGAATCTTTTTCTCACTCTTAGAAGACTGAGAACTTCTGCTATCATCAGCCAAGAACTCCTCCCGAGAAATCCTGTCATGAGACATCCTCCTAGCTCTTTGAGACACAACAACTTGACTATCATTTGATACCTTCCGAGCCTGAGCCTGGTGTCTCTTCATGTCCCTATCCTTCACTTGCCATTGTACTTTATCCTCCTGATTAAATAGTGTAGGAGATGCCCACGAGTTTTGCCCAGTATTCTCCTCATGTCGCATAACATCACGAGAGCTATTTCCATAAGTCACACCATCCCTGGACTTAGAATTCGGCTCATACCGTTGATAGTTAGGAGCACTTTGCTTCTCCCTCCAATGCGTACCATTGTGACGATCATACGGCCCATTTTTATTGATAGGTGCTTGTCTTTCATTCCGATGTCGCATTACTCTATCATGATGATGATCAGAACGATACACAGTCTCTGCTTGGCGTGAACTATCCTTGCCCTTGCGAGCATAAGACTCAGCATTAGGACGATGATATCCGGTGTTGTTGTTGTGTGAAGGGCCAACAATTTTGAGAGCTTTATGAACAGTATAGCGATGCTTATGGAGTTCCACAGAGCTTCCAATATTGTTGGTGTCAGTCTTGTTAACCCTCACATCTATGCCTCTACGCACTTCATATTGAGTATTCCCCTCCGTTGGCACCGTAACACGTTCAAAAACACCAGACCTCTCATTGTTTGCCGGTGGTTTCAGAGGACATTGCTCATTCTCATGAGTTAAGAAACCACAAGTAGTGCAATGCTTAAAAAGAAGATCATAGGTAATCTTAATTGTTACTTCATCGCCTTCTGAGTTTGAAGCCTTTCTCGTGAACTTCAAGGGCTTGCGTGTGTCTATGTCTATTAGCATTCTCCCCTCCTCAAGTTCCAGTGTATCGACTCGTCCCAAAGTATCCCCAAGGCCTCGAAGATTCTTTATGGTCCACATGTACAAAGGCACTCCCGTGATTGTGACCCAAAAGGGTATAGTCCAAGGGTATTCATCGTTGACAATAGGCTCCCACCTCACAAGCACAAACATGAAAAAATTATAGTGGAAAGGGCCTTGTCGTAAGACCTCCTTAAGATCCTCCTCTGTAGTAAAGTTTAATAAGAATTTTTCATTCCCCAAGTCGTTCGCTGTAATCCGATACTGCATACCCCACTGAGTTGGCATGTAATTGAGTAGGCGTTTGACATTTTGTTTTCTTGGATTCAGAATCTTTCCAATTAAAGAAAGTTTAAACTCATTCAAAACGTGTGAGTCTTCATCATCAACGAGCTTGAAAGGCTCCTCCTCATCATCGGGCATAGGACCCTTTCCTTTACCATCATCCGATTTCTTATCTTCATGAAAAGCCATTTCTCTTATACTCTGTTTTGTGGTAAGAAAACAGAGTATTCCAAAGTGTATCAGACATAACCACAGAGAGGCCGGAACAAAGGATCCAACCTCCGATGGTTGCGAATTGATTGCAGCGGAAGTAACCGTCGAAGAACGTAGTCTTGAAGAATAGATTGATAACGTGATGTCGACGAAGATCACAAGCTGATTTCGTTATAAGACAAAAACAGATTGAGAACATGATCCCGAAGAAGATCATAAGCCGGTCTCAAAACAAACAACGACGGAGAAGATGATTCAGCGATGGCCGAAAGTGAAGCAGCGGTATAACGAAGGAACAGGTTGGGAAGCAACAGCAGCGGTGTAACGAACAGGTTGAGAAGCAACAGCAAACACGAATCACGTAGAGATATGTGATCACCAAAGAGTGACACAAACCAAACTGTATTTGACAAGAGATTGACAAGGATCAATCTCCGTGACAAACACCCACCCACCGGCCAACGAAAGTTAAGCTGAATCCCCGGCGTGTTCTGATTGTGAAGAGTGAGTGGATCTACGCAGACCAATGTAGAAAAGCCGTGGATCTCCTTGACGCCATGGTTATCGCCTTGTCGCCGTCAGAGCTCGTTAGGATTTTTATTAATCTTGTAATATATATATATATACATATATACATATATATATATATATATATATATATATATATAAAATCTTGTAATATATGTTCTCGTCATTGAGCATATTATATTATTTTGTCATTTAAAATCTGATTATTACAATAATTTGTCAATATACTATAGTTTTTTTTTTGAAATATATAGATACATTTATTTCTGATATTTTTTCTTGCAAATTGAATAAACAAATATATTTACATATGTTTAAAATTGACCAGAAACTGAAAAACAATATAATGCTGAAAATGGAAAGAAAAAAAAACAATTTCCTTATTTTTTCTTCAACGAATAATGTATAGATATATTTCCTTATTTTAAAAGATTTTTTTTCTTACTTCCATGTTTTCTTATTTGAAAAAAGGATATCCTTATTTTGCTTCGACGAATAGTGGATATGTTTCCTAATTTTAAAAGATTTTTTCTTATTTCCATGTTTTCTTAGATAACAATTCAAATTTACTTGTTAGACCAGCTAAAATCGAAATTTTTATGTAATATTTCATAACATTTATTTCATCATTTCCAAAAATCTTCTCCGTCACTTTACTATATAGGTATCTCTTGCCTTCCTCTCCTCGTACAACCACAAGAGATTCTCTCAACTAAAAAAGAAAAAAAGTCTTCGCTATTAAACTTATCGTTGCATCAACAAAATGATACCAAGTTATGATCCAAACGATACAGAGGCTGGTCTCAAGCTTCTTGAGGATCTAACCACAAATGCTGATGCAATTCAACAACAAGTTCTCCACCAAATACTCTCTCAAAACTCAGAAACCGAATATCTCAGGTCGTTTCTTGACGAAGAATCTTGCAATATTCAAGAAAATTTCAAGAACAAAGCCCCTGTGGTAAATTACGAAGACATAAAGCCCTTCATCCAACGAATATCTGATGGCGACTCATCCGATATCCTCTCTGCTCAACCCATCACTGAGCTTCTCACAAGGTAATTAAACTTCTGTATATATCGAATTATATATAAATACAATGAAGATATTAATTTACAGAAATGATGTTATCCTTAAATGTCACCATATTATGTTATCCTTGAAACCTTAGAACAAGAGCTTATTATTTTAAAATCTTATTTTTTATCTTACCACCATATGTTTACAGAATATATTTTTTAACTAGTCACTTTTTTTCTGAGTGATTTTTTATTACAGATTTAAGGTCTTCAACATTAAAAATCAATTTAGCATTTAAATACCAAAATGAAAATAAACTAAAAGTAAATAACTATATATCTCTACATGATCTTAATTAAAAAAATTACACAAAGAACGGTCGATATTGTTATGTGGTTTTACAATACATTCCTATGTAATTAAGATACTAGCTTGTGACCGGCACTTCTAAAATGTAAACTTATTTTTATATAAATTTCAGCATAGATGGTAATATTATAAAATTTATGTTATTTTTTTTATTTATGGTAAACATGAAAACTATATATAAAATAGTACTCAGTTTAACCATTTAAACCCTTTTTATTAATTTTTGTACGGTGAATATTCTCATTTGGGTTAATATAAGATTATATTTATATATATACTGAAAATATGTTTATTTATTTATTTAAAAGAAAGATGATAGAATTTTAATTTATAACTTATTTTAGTTTATTTACCAATAAAGTTGTATATCTATAGGAATACAGAGTAAAATTATTATTTTTAAAGATTGTGTACTTTAAAAAATTGTAGTTAAATTAAAAGTACATGCACAAGATATGCAAACACTATTTTCTGGATTTAAATTTTGAAATAAGTAATTAATTAATCACTGGTTTACAAAGATATTAATTTGTGATATACTTCATTCTTGTAAATATATTAATATTTTTAACATAATTTTTATTAAGACAAATTTCTGAGGATGGTCACTAAAATCATCACATATGAAAGGTTTTAGGTGATTTTGTTTTAATAAAAGAGAATAGGCAACTATTTAGCATGTACAGTAAAACTCTATAAATTAATAATGTTGAGATTATGATAATTTAATATTTTACTGACAAAAAGTATTTTATTTCACAATATATATATATATATATATAAAGATGAAATTCATTATGAATACAACTAAAATGCTTTATTTATGTTAAAATATAATTTATATATACAGTAATTATGAATTTATGATTTTAATAAAACTATCTATTTAGTTAATAATTTTTAGAAATATTATTATCGTATTGTCTTATCGAATTATGTCATAGTTTACAATATCTTGATTTGAGACTGGAAAAATTTATTAACTTCTTGCGTTTATTGATTTATCGAGTATTAATTTAAATTTTCTATTTTATATGAAAATAGTGGAATCTCTAAGTTTCTTGGTTATTGAAAAAAATATTTGATGCAGCTCGGGGACTTCGGGTGGAAAACCAAAATTGATGCCTTCAACAGCTGAAGAGTTGGATAGAAAGACATTTTTCTACAACATGCTTGTGCCCGTCATGAATAAGTAATACTGCTACTTTCTCAAACGTTTGCCAAATCTCCTTACAAAAATCATAAAACATTGTTGTAATTAATGGATTAAACGTGGGTTCATTTGTAGGTATGTGAATGGGCTTGATGAAGGAAAAGGAATGTACCTTCTGTTCATAAAACCAGAAATCAAGACTCCTTGTGGTCTACAGGCACGTCCTGTGTTGACCAGTTACTACAAAAGTGAGCAATTCAAGAACAGGCCTTTCAACAAGTACAACGTCATCACTAGTCCTAATGATGCCATTCTTTGTGAAGACAGCAAGCAAAGCATGTACTGTCAGCTTCTTTGCGGTTTAGTCCAGCGATCTCATGTCCTAAGACTCGGTGCTATCTTCGCGTCTGCCTTTCTTCGTGCGGTCAAGTTCTTGGAAAATCATTTCACTGAGCTGTGTGCTGACATTAGAACCGGTACTGTGGCTAGCTGGATCACTGACTCTGGCTGTAGAGACTCGGTTTTGTCTATCCTTAACGGTCCTAACCAAGAACTGGCTGATGAGATCGAGACTTTGTTCAATGCGAAGTCGTGGGAAGGAATCTTGAAGAGGGTTTGGCCTAAGACGAAGTACATTGAGGTGATTGTGACTGGATCGATGGCTCAGTATATTCCGACACTAGAGTTTTATAGCGGTGGTTTGCCTTTGGTTTCGGTTATGTATGCTTCCTCTGAGTGTTTCTTTGGTCTCAACATTAATCCTCTGTGTAAGCCATCCGATGTTTCTTATACACTTCTTCCTAACATGGCTTACTTTGAGTTCTTGCCTGTTGATGATAAGTCTCATGAAGAGACTCAACTTGAATCGCGTTCTAGGGATGATGTTGCCCGTATGGACAAAGATCGTCTTGTCGATCTTGTTAATGTGGAAATAGGACAGTACTATGAACTCATCATCACCACATTTGCAGGTCAGTTATCTCTTGACATATTCGGTTCGTTCTGGTTTCATTAGGGTTTGGAAAACATATAGTAGTAGAAAATATAAATAAACAGATTAATCTTATCTTATATATTAAAACAGAAATCATGAATCTTTTAATGTGTGATATTTAAAAGGACAATTTTCTCAAATAGCCCTTTTAAAAAAATTTTATCACAAAATAGACCTCAAAAATTAAAATGACCAAAATAACACTTTTTATTTTGAAAATATTAAGTATTTTTTTTTTTTTAAAATTCGAAACTCTATCCCCAAAACCCCACTCCTTAACTCTAAATAAAAAAAATCTAGTATTAGTTAACCCAAGGGTATAAATATATGTTTAATAAAACATTTAAGTGTTATTTTGGTCATTTTAATTGTTAAGGTCTCTGTTTGTGATAAAAACTTTTTTAGGTCTATTCTAGTCATTTTCTCTATTTAAAATGGATCATCTACTAGAATTTATAACATTACATTATACAATCATTAGTAATATTTATTGGATTCATTAATAACATTGATTATGCTTACCAAATTTTTTTATTTTGGGCTAATAATAGTTAGATGATCCATTGGATTTATAGAGAGTACAATAAAATACATGTTTAAATTAAATTTATATAATTTTATTTGTAATAATATAAGTTAATTATTTATATATTTTCCGATGTTAACTTTTAAAATTATATAGTTTATTTTTAAAAATGACAAATCATCATTTTCTAACAATAATTAATCTATACTATCTTAAACCAATGAAAACAATTTTTAAATTATATAGTTTACTTTAAAAATAAGAGAAATTAATTGTTTAATTAATTACTCCATAATATGAAGCTAACAATTTTGTTAAACTTTAGAAATTTTAGAAATGTTACAATATCTCTTTAAAGATGACAATAGAACAATATTTTTCTAATCTTTACATATATATTAGAGTTCAATAATGAAATCATAATATAAATATATATATAGAAGAAGATACAAATACATGTGAAAGTTTGAGATAATATATTTGATGAAAACTAATATATGGTAAAATTGTTATCTTTTAAAAAATCGATACACACCTCATATAATATATACTAATTTAGAAGTGAAAATAAAATGTTTATATAAAAACAAATGAAAAAAATACTCGTACGGTTGAGCGGGTTGAGATCTAGTATTAATTAAAATTATATTGGTTGGTATATATAGTTAGATGTATTTTTGTATAAATTTTAACTAAAAGTATAAATCTATGATATGATATTGAATGTTTTATTTTCAAAATACATTAAAAATGCTTAAAACTATTAATCAATGAGATTGGGCTAGTGTATTCGAGGGATAATCCCAATACGGTGAACCATTTTAATTTTCATTCGCCACTAGGAAATTTACAAATGTTTGCATCGCTGGGTCGACAGATTAGAGTTGACTACGGACCGGACACTGTGGTTAATTAAAAAAAAAATTGTTACAGTTGATATAAAAGAAGGTTTATAAAGGACTCCTAAACGTTTTCCTAACAACATTTGTCATATTTTGGAAAATAAAACTAATTATTGGTATTTTTGAAAATGTAACTTTTCATGCTCAGTATATCCGCCCTAATTCTACACGTAATGATAATAACGTGTAACATAAGTAGTCTTGGGATCTTCCTAAAACAGGTTTATACAGATACAGAGTGGGAGATATCCTAAAGGTGACCAGTTTCCACAACAAGGCACCCCAATTCAGTTTCGTGGAGAGAAGAAACGTTGTGTTAAGCATCGACACAGACAAAACTAGCGAAGATGATCTCATGAAGGCAGTGACACAAGCCAAACTCAACCATCTCCAAGGTCTCTTGCTCACCGAGTACACTAGCTACGCGGACACGTCATCGATCCCAGGGCATTACGTGCTCTTCTGGGAGCTGAAATCACGTTACGACAATGACCCACCAAAGCTAGACGAGAAGATGATGGAGGATTGTTGCTCTGAAGTGGAGGATTGTCTGGATTACGTGTACAGGAGGTGCAGGAACAAAGATAAATCAATAGGGCCATTGGAGATAAGAGTGGTGAGTTTGGGTACTTTTGATGCCTTAATGGACTTTAGCATCTCCCAAGGATCTTCAGTGAATCAGTACAAGACACCAAGATGTGTTAAATCTGGAGGAGCTCTTCAGATTCTTGATTCCAGAGTTACTGGGAGGTTCTTTAGCAAGAGAGTTCCTCAGTGGGAGACACTTTGTTTAGGCTCTTAGCTTTACTCTATTCTCTTTATTAAGTGAGTCTTGAGCTGCTTGTTGTCTTTCTTTTTATTTACACAAGGTTTTAAATCCTCCAGTGCATCTAGAAATAAGACCTTGATATAGTTCAAAGTCCATTGATGTCAGACTTTTCAGAAATTATGCAAAAACCGCAAGGCATAAGATATTGTTTTTATTATATCAATGCGTGACAAATAGAGTCTAACCGACGACATTATTTCCTAGCTAACAGAAATAGAGTTATAAGAATACGTTGATAGGTTCCTAGAAAAGAACAAGTTGATAAAAACTTTTCAGTTTTGCTTTCTTTTTGCTGAAGCTTTGTACTATCTTTCTCTTCATTTCTTTCAAAGCGTACCTTCGATCAGTTTAATCTTTGGGAACTCGGCAAATCCTCTTTTTCATGAATGTGATGGGAGAGATTAGTATCTGAGCTCCGGCTCAGGGTAACATTTTGAGGTGGAGAAATTTAGTGGGAGTGAGATTTTTCTTTGTAGAAGAAAAATATACTTGCTTAGCTTGAGGTCTCTTATGAATGGAAAGACTTCCTGGTGTAGCCAAGTGAATTTAAAGGGAAAGATATATCAGAAATTTTGAGAACAACCAAGAAGAAACACAGGAAGTTCCACTGAATAATACGGACGCCAGCGTCACTTAATCTCAGTCTAAAAGAGATCGATAAGAAAACTATGTAACATCCTATTTGCTGTATATTTGGAATGGTTTACCCACCTATGCTAATAAAGTTTATATATATATTTTTAATCACATCACGAAAGAATTCGAGAGTTCGACGTGACTGAACTGAAGTAATAGAAAGATAGATGATTTATCAAGAAGTGATTCACGTAATCATGCGAGTGAAATTAAGCAAAAGAAAAAGATTATGCGGTGATTGCAGATTGAGTAAACAAAACTTTTGAGTCTTCACAGAAATAACGCATTGTCTGTCGTATTAAATATAGCACAAAAGCCTTGTGATCGAGCCTAGGAAGCCCATTAGCTATGGCGAACGGGGCGTTATAAGGTGCAGATGAATAAACGGTATTGTAGGAGGGAACATACATAGTTGATGCATCGAATGCTAGCGCAATAAGACTTGATGAAGGCGGGATAACGGCACTTGCCTTCAAGCTTGAAACTTCTTGCCCCGAGGAACGCCTGAAAGCTTAGTGAGGAAAATCCTCGACAGAGAGGAAGTTTTTCTTTTAATGAGAGTGATCTTTCAAAGAGACTTTTTGCGATAAGGCTCTTCTTAAAGGGATGGCTCACTCTCCTTTAAAGGTGTCTCTGCTGCACTCTAAGGATAGCATATGATTCACTAGCGCAGGAGAGAGAGTTAGCCTTGGCTTTGGCACTTCCTCGCTCAATCTCATAAGAGAAGAAATCTCTATGCCTCCTTTTTCTTGGTTTTCTGCCCTGCTTTTGTTGGTCAACAACCAACCACAACTTTCTATAGTTCTTCACTACTCCTAGAGGCTTGACGGAGTGAAGCTGTTAGTAATTAGAGCTAAATCCAAGCAAAATGTGGATCTTTGTATGGACTCACACTAACATGGTTGACAATCTTGGAGGGAAACAAGGACATTGCATTCTATGAAAATGAGTGATTTATAAAAGTCCAATTTGTGGTATATGTGGAATGGCATATGGAAATTAATTTAACTTTCTATGTCGTCAAAGTTTACTTACGTTTTGGTCACACATCACAAAAAAAATTGGAGTTAAATATGTTTAAGTTGGAATAGTATAAAAATGGATGACCTATCAAAAAGTGATTCATGTAATCGTGTGAGTCAGCCCAAGTTACAGAGAAAAGTCGTGTGATGATTGCAAGGTTCAGTAACCAAGACTTTTAAACTTCCAAAAATTTAGTGCATCCTTCTCATGAAATGCTCTTGAAGTGACTATTGGAAGTTCAATATTCTGAACTTGCTTTAGGCCCAATATTCTGAAATCCATTAGGATAATGCCAAAACTGCAAGAGAATAGAAGTCCATTACATGCCCATAAGAAATCAAGTCTTCCTCAACTAGTTCTACTAAAAATGTAAAGGAGACTGAATACATTAAAGACGTATGAATGGCATTGAATTCATGCTGGATATCTATCCTCCGTTATCATTCGGAAATGACTAACTATAAAAATAAATGAGCAGAAAGAAAGAGAGAAGGAGATTTTTTTTTTGATTATCTTAAGATTCCAGGAACAAGGCCTATAATTTCCAGGTCCGGAATTCGTTAGATATTGATATCATGAAAAAAAAAATTCATAGCATAAAGTATTATTTTTATGGTGGATCGAATTCAGAAACACAACAACATCAACACCAACTGCGCTACCACATCCCTGGTGAGAGGGAGATCTTTGCCTCCTTTATCTAGAACCTCCCAACAGCCAACTATCTATCATTTCCTTGTAAGCAAACATATATTCTCTTCAATTCGTATTGTACCATCATTCGTATTCACTAAGATACACATTTTCACCCTCAGAATTGATTTGTTCATTTCTTGTTCATGACGTAAAATCAAACTCTAACCCACAGTTTATATACATTGATACATATATATTATATCTCTATAATATTATTTGAGAAGTCAGTTTCCTACGTGTCGCACTCACGTTAACTTTCGCGATGGTTGATTACATAGATATCCTTAATGAATTATTAGATTTTAAGATTATTATTTTTTTATTTAATGTGTTTTACCTTTTTCCAAATAACATATATAATAAAAAGAAATATTTCTTAAATTTTAAAACAAATTTAAAAACAAAAAAATATGTATATAATATGACTTTCTTAAAAAGGAAAGTTCACAAAATAGTAATACCCCCATTAATATATATTTTAAAATAAAATAAAATTTATTTTCAAAATAATAAAAATATATATGTTCATGAACATCCAAAATTTATCAGTTACACTTTATTTTCTAATATTTTTTAGAAATCACCATATATTTTGATAAATATTATGAACATACATGTATATTTAAGCGATAAATAAAACTAATTTGATTTGACTTAACTAAAATAAAGAGTAAATAAATATTATGAAAATACATGTATATTTAAGCGATAAATAAAACTAATTTGATTTGACTTAACTAAAATAAAAAGTAATTATACTTCAATTTTAATTTAAAGATATATTTAACTCAATGTACTCACAAAATGAATGACTCGACTGATCTAATTTATATCCAAAATTAAAAATCTAACTACAATAAAAACATATAATTTTCTAATAATAATAATAATAATAATAATCTATTTAATTTTATACATATAAATTAGAGTTTGACTCAAAGCATATTAAAAAGAAAAAGAAAATATTAACCAATTACAATTTAATTCTTTTTAAAATTTATATATATGCTTGAGACTTCCAAATATTATCATTATATTCATTTATGTAATTCTGAATCAAACACTGCAGCTTATTATTTTTTTTTCATTTTAAGCATAATATATATTAAGTTATACATAATTTAACTATAATATATTTACATATCTAAGACAATAACCAAATGAAATGAAAATAAGAAAATTAATCAATGTTTTATTATCGTTAGAATAAAAAATATTATAGCTGAATTCGAAAAATATATATTATCCAATATACCAAATTGATAACCAAACCGACTATTGATCCAAAAAATAATTAAACCGACAATAATATATTCAAATTCAATGTATAATTAGAATATTATAATATTATTAATATAAATTATACATAAATTATATCAATTTTATTATAAAATTTTACTTTTATGAATATTCATAGCCGTGCATGAGCACGAGAAAATCACCTAGTATATATATAAACTTGCATATTTAGCTATTGCATTTACAATAAATTAAAAATTATTTGGAAACATGGATATCAAATTAAGTAGTTCCTTTTATTTGCATATTTAGCTATTGCATTTACAATAAATTAAATACCTTCTTATTATATTTTTTTTATTTACAGATTCTGGCATTACATTTAAAATCAATTTAAATTAATTGATAGTTTTTCTTGCTTTGTGGTGAAAATAAAAACACAGAATAAAATATATTGTATAAATTAATTTTTAAATATTGTATTACCTTATTTAATTTAGTCAAATATAAAATTTTGGGAGTTTAATTTTCGAGAAAACAAAATGTCATAAAATTAATGATAATTCATAGAAAATTATGTAAAGAAACTAGTTTTAGTATATTGTTTCGTTTTAAAATAAACTAACAAAAAATAAACATGTTAATATATTAATAGTACAATTACATCAAATTGCATCAAGTTATAAAGTACAATTACATCAATTTAAATTAATTGATAGTTTTTCTTGCTTTGTGGTGAAAATAAAAACACAAAATAAAATATATTGTATAAATTAATTTTTAAATATTGTATTACCTTATTTAATTTAGTCAAATATAAAATTTTGGGAGTTCAATTTTCGAGAAAACAAAATATCATAAAATTAATGATAATTCATAGAAAATTATGTAAAGAAACTAGTTTTAGTATATTGCTTCGTTTTAAAATAAACTAACAAAAATAAACCTGTTAATATATTAATAGTACAATTACATCAAATTGCATCAAGTTATAAAGTTTCTATATAATATTATGTACAAATAAAAAATTATTATTAAAATTTTATATTATAAAATAATATATTCTACTCTATATGTAAATTACAAAACATATATATATATATATTTGTACACATGTTATATATATATAATATATATATATATATATATATTTTTTTTTATAAAACCAAAGGTGTATGAGTTTAAGTTGAACACATGTTAAATCAAATACTCACACGAGGGTGCGGGTCAAGTTCTAGTTATATTTTAAATGGAATGTTAGAAGATTTTATACAGGACTATGGGTCAATTTGGGGTTCATCCGCGCGTTAAGTATATACAGTTAACTATATAACTATTATTTTGGAGTTGTATTTTGGAATTGTATACTTGTGTTAATA